TGACCGCAGCCCGGCCGCACCTGACTCACGTTCCTTCCACACCAGGGTTTGGGAGGAGACTCGGGAGCCTGGGGTGGGGATATGGGTGCAGACGTGAGTCCCTGGGGCCAGAGGGCATGTGTGGTGGCCAGAACGATGACCGTGGCCTTGCCCCTGGAGAGGGCCTGCCCGAGTGCGATGCGTGAGCCCCCTGGGCGTGCTCCCTGCGAGCAGGTGCTGCAGGTGTGACTAGTTTTGCTCATCGCGCTGGGCTCGCCGTGGCCAGGTGGGCCTGACCAACGCGCGCCTGGAAAAGCAGAGCAAGCCGGCAGCCCCGGGGCCAGGACCTGTGGCCATGGAACCAGTCCTGCCAGCGGTGGAGCGAACTCGGACCTGATTCTTCCCGTGCCTCCTAGGAGCGAGCTCGGACCGGATTCCTCCCGCGCCTCCTAGGAGCGAGCGGACCGGATTCCTCCCGCGCCTCGGCAGCCGGCCTAAAGGTAGGGGATTTCTAGCACTTTCGTCCTGAACGCATTTGCCAGTTTCAGGGGGATCCAGGGGTGTTGACAGAAACCAAAGCCCTGGGCCCCTGGGTGGGAGACCCGCCCCCATGGAGAGGCCAGCACGGAGGGGGCAGCTGTTAGGATGCGGTCCTTGTGGAGAAGGCGAGGCTCGGCTCCCACGTCAGGCCCGGCGTCCTGGGCCCAGGGGCAGCCCACAGGGTTGCTTTCCTGTTTGTCCAGCTGCTCATCTAGGTCGCCCGTCCTCCCTGTGAAAGGGGAATGGTGCTCGGGCGCTGGCGTTTCCGTGCCTTTCTCTCCGTGTGTGTGTGTGTGTGTGTGTGTGTGTGAACAAACGCTACTGTAACCAGGAGAGGGGACGACCATGTTCTCACCGCGCGGGCAGGCCTCTCCCCGCTCCCCCGGCCAGGCGGGCTCCTCCTGATGGCACCAGCGATCAGTGTGCCCAGCCCAGCCCTCCCCGCCCCCACCGAGCTCCCCTCTCCTGTCAGCCAGCACCCTGAGACCGCGGTCTGCCGCGTGCGTCTGACCTCCCTCCCCTCCCCTCGGTATAGGTCCCAGGCCCACAGGCCCACAGGCAGGAGTCACACAGGACGTGACTCAGGCCGGGGGAGAGGGAGGACGTGACAGCTGCGGGGGGCACGCTCTCGCCCACCAGGAGGCACAGAGGTGCTGCCTGGGCCACGCTCCCACACGTGCATGTGTGTTTCCTCCCCCGTGGCTAGGACTGAGATAGGTGCACACGAGACACCTCTGGAAAGTATTGTTTCATTTTGTAAACTTTTTAAACTTTGATGAAATGGTCCCACGGGGTGTGTATCCTTCTCCAGCTTGTTTTTTGCTTTGTTTTGCTTTTTATATTTTTATTGATTTCGGAGAGGAAGGGAGAGGAAGAGCGATAGAAACATCAATGATGAGAGAGAATCATTGATCTGCCTCCTGCACGCCCCCTACTGGGGATCGAGCCCGAAACCAGGGCATGTGCCCTTGACCGAAATTGGACCCGGGACCCTTCAGTCCGCAGGCCAATGCTCTATCCACTGAACCACACCAGCCAGGGCTCCAGCTTGCCCTTTTAATCAGCATCCTGTCGGTGCTCATTCCTGTCCGTTGTGGAGGCCGTCCATTGTGATGTGGGGAAACGTGTGCAATGGCGGCGTGTGAGACACTGGGACTCTCAGGTCACGTGCACTGGGTCAGGTGCTCGCCGGGTGGTGAGGACATTCAGTCCGCCCTGAGCAGAGGCGCTGAGGCCGCCGCCACGGCCAGCATCTCGGGGGTAAGTCATCCTCGCTTCCAGAGACCATCCGCCCTGGCGGCGGTGTTTGCTTTTCACATCCACATTCCAAAGTGAACGCGGCTGATCACTTTTCTTGATCAGCCTCCCCTTCTCTGGTTTGGATACGAAGGTCACAGTGTGTGTTTGGTAAAAGGTTTCTTCTTTGTCTGTTCTCTGGCACCGCCTTGTCCTTGAATAGAAAGAGCTGGTCTGCACACCTAGGCCTGATGTTTCCGTGGTTTCACGCTGGTTTGGGTCAGTTCATGTTCAAACTCCTCCTGCGGTTCCTGGCAGGGCTGCAGGCGGCTCCGGCTTTCCAGGGGCGAGCGCGTTCTGGCAGGTGGTTCTTCTCGGAGAGTCCGTGCGCCGGGGCTTCCTGACTCGCTGGCCTCGCGCTGGTGGCAGTTCCGTACAGGCCTGCCCTGTGTTCGCAGCTCTGCCCGCCGGCTCCTGGGTTGTCTGTGTCCCGTCGTCACTCCCTCCACCAGCCTCGCCAGCTTGTACTGTCGTTAGTCCCCTCGCTGCCTGCTGACCCGCGGTTCCTTTACTCCCGCTGGCGCCCTCCCGCCTTCTCCCTGGGCTGTGATGTCCCTCTGTGCCTAGTGATGGAGGCAGGTGGCCATTTTCTCGTGTGTGCATTTAAAGCTGCGGCCCTCCTGCCACGCTAGCGCCCCCTCACGGTGCTTTCATTACCGTCACGTGGTTTGGAAGAGTTTGCGCACTTAACTATGGGCGCTGTGTCCGCCACTGCTCTCCTGGCCTTGCAGTCCGCCTGCCCTCTTCCCACAGCACGAGGGTGGCGATGATGAAGCGCGGTCCCCAGCCGGTAGGCGCAGCTCTGGGACTAGGTCCCCGTCATGAAAGAGGAGGGAAGGCCACTGTAGGGACTTCTGGGGACGCTCCATGGGAGGAGGACAGTGTGCAGGGACACCTTTGCCCAGGCCCTTCTTCCTTCTCCTACCGTAAGTGACAGTGTGATGGTGGCCCTGCAATCATCCTGCATCTTGAGGTGACCTCGGGGTGACCTTGAGGATGGAAGGCAGGAGCTAGAGCGGTGGGGCTGGACGGCGAGGACGCCGGTCCGTGGGGCCAGGAGGGGCACCTGTCAGTGCTGACCCCACATCCTCTGTACGAGAAGGAAGGTCGCCGAGTGTGTTCAGCTACTGTTTCCGGCCAGATGCGATCCTAACTGATATCACTTTTTTACAAATACATTTTTATTGATTTCAGAGAGGAAGGGAGAGGGAGAGATAGAAACATCAATGATGAGAGAGAATCATTAATCGGCTGCCTCCTGCACACCCCCTACTGGGGATCGAACCCACAACCCAGGCATGTGCCCTTGACTGGAATCAAACCCGGGACTCTTCAGTCCACAGACCAACGCTCTATCCACTGAGCCAAACCAGCTAGGGCCTGATATCACTTTTAAGATATCACTTGGATTTATAAATTACTAGAGGCCTGATGCATGAAATTTGTGCAAGGGGCTCGGCCCATCGCTGCCCCAGCTGCCTTGGCCCTCACAGCCCCAGCTTCGTCCAGAAGGTCGTCCGGAAGGTTGTTCGGCTGTCCAGTCTATTTAGCGCATTATGCTATTATTATAGATAAAATAGTTCACACACATGAACACATTTGTAACTCAGACTAAGGATAAAATGAACACCACTTCACGCCCCCCGCCCCACCTGAGAGCGTGGGCACTGCAGTCTGGCTGCGTGCTCACAGCTGCACCCCTGCCTCTCCCCGCCTCTCCCCCACCGAGGGAACCCGGGCTGGAGTCTGTGCTTCGCATCCCCTTGCTTAGCAGCTACAGCTACGCCACGCATCCTGTAACCCTAAATTAAACCGTGTGTCCATTATACCCACACTCTTTTCTGCAATTTCCTGTTTCCCTCCACATTGAGCTGACTCCACATTGATCATGTAACTACGGTCCATTGAATCTCGCTGCTTTCCATTGTCTACTGCATGCCACACCCTGTGTGTCAGCCCCACGTGTGCATCTGTGGGGTACTTCAGCTTTAACTATTACAGAACACGCTACAGACTCTCCTGGTGATGGTGACTCGGGCAGCGGTCTCCCCAACTATTCTGACCCCGTGACACAGAGGGAGAACTGCGATATTCACATGGCACACTGGAGGGTGTGTAGAGTTCTGGACAGGGCTACCGAGGTGACCCACACACTCAGGCCACCTCGAGGGAGAAAGGGACCACTTAGATGAAGCCCATCAGTGCCCACAGCCTGGGGGCAGAGACCTGCTCACAGAATAGATGGAACACAGGGAGTGGGCATGTCAATGGCACCAGACAAGACCCAACCATCTCCCAAAGGGATCAAAGCGACTCGCACCCTCGTCATCGCTGTGTCAGCGTCCCCACCGCTCCTCAGCCTCGCCACGCTGACCACTGAACTTTAAGAAATATCTCTGCGTCTTAGTTTGTAGTTTCCTTACTACTAATGTGGCTGAGCATCTTTTTTGTTCATTATTTGATACAATGAAGGGACTCTGTTTCTCAGCCTCTTTCTTCATGGTGGGAGCTTTGTTGTGTCTCCTGGAATCACAGAACATGTTTTGTGAAGCTGATACTTTGAAAGATGTTGTCCTAGTTTCTGATCTAGCACAGGGTTAATTTTTGCACATGCCCAATGCTTATCTATATATATAAAACCCTAATATGCAAATAGACCAACGGCGGAACAACCGAACAACCGGTCGCTATGACGTGCGCTGACCATCAGGGGGTGCGCGCGGAACATGGCAGGCGTCGGCCGTGGTGGGATGGTGGAGCAGGTGAGCGGGGGCACCAGACCAAGGCGGGGCACCGGTCACTGCCATCGGGCAAGCCTCCAGTGGTTACTGAAAATTCTTTGCTCCCGCGCGCACCGCAGTCCCACCCGGCGCTCACACCTGCTGCTGGCGCCCGGCGCCAGTCCTGATCGCTCGGCACCGGCCCCACTTGCACCCACTGCTGACGGCAGCCCCAGTTGCTCCACACCGCCAGCAGGTGCAAGCAGGGCCGGTGCTGCCAGCGCATGGGAGTGGCAGCGGCAGTGGGAGCGGGGCTGCCAGCAGAAAGGGGACTGGGGACCGCAGCCGGAGGGGCCAGACAGGGGCACAGAGGATGGGCTGAGGCCCGTCCCTGTGCCCACCGCAGCCTCGCGGCCCACAGTTCCTTCCAAGGTGCATGAATTCATGCACTGGACCCCTAGTTTGAGAATAATATGCACTTCCCAATGTTGGGTGGCGGGCGCTACCATAAATGTACACGAGGTAAGGGGTGACAGACTCCAGCCAGGAGCAGGGAGAAACCCAGCCTGGCCGCCTGTCTACATACTGTCCAGGGCTGCCTTCACCCCACAGCGGCAGGCAAGTAGTTGAGACAGAGACCGAGTGGCCTCACAAAGCACAAAGTACTTACTCTCCGGCCGAGCGCTACAGAAAAGGTTTGCCAGTCGGGCTCCAAACCGTTTCCCTTTTTGTCATTTTGATGCCATTAATGAAAGCGTTGTTTTAAAATCCTCTATGGCGCCGACAATTTCTATTTATCTTTGTTACCTTATGTTGAGGCTGATGAGTGCAGACCGGTGTTAAATCACCCCCTTTTCCTGGTGTGTTTTCTTCTGTCATTAATGCACTGGTCCTTTTGTCCCTAGTCATTTTTTTTGCTTTGAAATCTGTTTGGATGATATTGTTACATAGCAGCTTATTTTCATCAGTATTTCTCCTTTCCATTCTCTTATGTCTTACATTTTGGGTGTGTCTCTCATATTAAAAAAAAAAGGAAAAAAATAATAAAATAAAAAGAAAGAAAAACAGCACGCAGCTGGCTTTGTTTTTCCATGGAATCTGACCATCTCTTTTAGTCAGGAAGTTTGCTCCATTTATTATACACAGTGACAGATATTTGGTTTCATTTCCACCACCTTAGATTGTATTCTTTTTATATTATTTTTATGTGCCCCCCCCCTTTCTTTCCTGCCTTCTTTTGGATTAAGACTCTTAAACTCCAATTTTTACCTTTACGGATTTGAAGTTTCGGCCTTTTCGTAATTTCCCCTAATAGTATCACATGAATTCTAGATTTCATAAAGTCAGAACGTTCCTCAGTGGCTTCACCCTGCTCCGAGCAATGTAAGAACATCCGCACTGGTAATGCCAGGTTTGGACCCCTTTACTAACTTCTTTGCTGTTTATTTTTATTGTGTTTTCAGTGGAGAAATACATTATCTGTTTTCAAAATAGCGCTTGAAACAATACAAGTACAGGTGCTATAGGACAAAGCAAACTCCAGTCATGAGACACTACATACATCATATGAGAAAAATAGTCTGATATTCAGGTAATGAAACTAGAATTTAAAAGTTCCCGGCTTAGTAAAACAATGTGTAAACACAAAGACAGGACTAAATGCATGCCTGGCGATTTCCACCCGATGCCACAGCTACTGCAAACACTGGGCACCGGGCACGCGTGACTCATGACGGCAGCAGGAGGCCGTGACCGCACAGGCTAAGCTGTGTAATGGCCCGCTGTGTGCTGAAAAGAAGGGCTCAATTACTGCACAGCCAAAAGGAAGGAAATTGTAGTTCAACTGTGGAAAAATTAACCCAGAAGGATAGAGAAAGGGTTTAAGGAACTGCAGTTTAATGTGGAAACTGCACAGGTGGTAGAGGGACGCAGGTGAGAGGGGAGGAGACAGAACTGGACGAATGGAGAACCTGGCAGGGTGCTGTGTCCAGGTTACGACAGCTGTCATTCATCTATGTCTGTTGTCATTCACGTTTCCTGAACATGGATGTTCTGCATAATCATGAGTGGTGTTTTCTTTAAAAGAAAAGTGTTCCTAATAGTTTGTAGGATAAAATAAAGGAGTGGAAAGCCAACTATATGTCAAGTCCTTGCTAGAAATTATTATTTTTTAGATGTAAAATTTACTGATGGATTTTAGTAAACAAAAATTGGCATAAAATTCTTAGAGAAAAGATCTTTCTGCTTACCTGTTTAAGTTGGACATGAATGCCCCATAAATAGGTATTCTGTGAAGTTCACAAAATTTCTCATGTGTAGAGATCAAGTGGCCATCCGAGACTAATGTTTCACGGGCATTACTTTCAGTCAAGTTTTACTAAAATATTAGCCCTGGAACCAAAATTTCATGTTTTGTGCCATGTGGCCACAAGACTTGATTTCATATCATGGTTAAGAAAATACTAGCATTCTGGGTTTTTTTGTGAAACAACATACAAGCCTACCGTGTGCATACAAGCAAATCAGTGGGGAGACACAAGGCTATCTTGTTGTAAGACAGATGATTAAGGACAACAGAACATGGAGCTGTTAGCTCCAAGACACTGTTTGCTGTTTGATCGCTGATTGTGTGCGTTATAAAACAATCCTACAGAAAAAAACAATGTCACTTTTTGACCATGTCCCATCAAAACCAAAGAATTACTAACTAATGTTTTGATGTCAAATATATACCGTAAGAGCTACCATTTCATTGTAAAGGGCTACAGCTACCTCCCAGGAACTTCGCTAGATTAACTTTCCTGCTTTGTCTGAAGTACAGTACACTGCACAGTGGTATCCAATTTGGAGCGTAACAATGAAAATGCTTCAGGAAAAAACTAAAATTCATCAAGCTGAAACCTCTGAAATTAGTGCTCATTTCTAATCATACACATAAAGTGCATCAGCAATATAAGGATATCTGATACCAATTTGTATGGCAAATTTCCCTCAACAATGCATCAAACATAAATGCAGTCCAGATGTCAGTCACGGGTACAAAGATAGCTGGAGGTTTTTTCCCATTTTCTCTTTAAGGGAAGTAGTCCTTTGACATAGTTAATGTAACTGTTGCTGAGACATTAATAATCTACACAATAATAGCAGCACTTCTAGCTTCATGTACTAACCTGGACTTCTGATCAAGATTAGCCCAGCAAAGGAAGTTACCAAGTCAGCCTAAATCTCTCTGGAGTCTGATCTAGTTTGGCACCCTTCATTCTCCTCCTTTAGCATTTGAAGACAACACATCGAGTTGGCAGATATTATTTATGGAAGCTTGATGTTGTGTTTATCAGTTCAATCTGTTTTATTGAAGTCTTGTTAACAGGAATAGGATTTGCAGGGAGAGCAGGGACATTGGAAAGGTTTCTATTGGATGTTTCCTGCGGCCAACAGAGAAGCTGCTGTTTGCACACTCCTCATGGAGTTGTGCTGTCTCTTCACAAGATCGCTCCTCTTCTACCTTAGCTTCCTCGGTCCCCCGTCTGTGTGAAGTGAGACAGTCCTCTAGACGCCTACTATAGGGTTAGCTATGTTTGTGGCTGCGGCCCCTGCAGGCCTGGGGGCATGGTTTACCAGAAGTGTTGAAGAAACAAGTCTAGTGATCGTGGGCTTTGGAGGTGGAGAAACGGCTGCTTGTGAGGCAGTCTGAGGAACGCTTTCGCTTGCACCCCCCGGGCTCTCACCGGGGTTCCCTTGCTGCAAGGTAACTTCAGTAACCTGTACGCTGGTCGCAGACGCTGCCATTACAGCCAGAGCAGGACTGTTTCTGCCCTGAGAGGAGCCAGTCACTGGGCCAGTCTTCACAGTGCTTGCAGGTGAAGGCACAGACACGCTGTTTTCACTGTCGGCAGACGAGTCAAGACTGCTGTCATTCAAAGCTGTCAATCTGACATCTTCCATTGAATGTGTTTTATTTTTCTGAAGCACGTGATTAGGTAGTAGCTGGTGGAGCTCCTTTCTTCTTAAATGCATTGCATCGATTTTCATATCCATCTCAAACATCTTACTATTTATTGCTTGCCTATAAACTGTGTCTGTGAAAGACTGGATATCATAGGTGAGATCGATACTGAGAACTTCAGAATTTTCTGGCTTTTTTAATACTAACCCAATCACCCACATTGTGCAAAATTCTTCCTTGTCAGGATTTTCTTTGGGTGCTGGAAATGACTGAGGATTCACATGAGCCAGCGTAATAAATTCATTCTTCTCCAAGCTGCCCACCAGGATTCGGATTTTTGATTCCACCAAGCCCACCCATTCTAGACGCTGCTTTTCTGTTGGTGCACTTGCTAGAAGTACAATATAATGCTTATACTTTTGAAAGAAGCTTGGAGCTTCAAACAGTTTGGACCACTCTGCCTTACTCAGCAAGATCTCATGTGTGATAGCAAGGCCTTGTTTAAACTCCTCGATCATGACCATCCTTGTGGACACAGACACGTTGTAGGTGGAGTTCTGCTGTGGGTATGCCGGTGTGATGATAGGCATCAGGTGGTACCTGTCGCTGGGGTTTACTCTTGGGTCCCATACGGGCAGATTAAGGTTTTGTTCTTCAGGCTCTTTCAGTAGCACTGGATTTGGCCACTCCCATTCAGAAAACACTAAGAAAAATTTACGTACAAGAGTTGATGCCACTGCGTTTGGATACAGCTGGCAGGTTCTTGCTACGAGCATGGCCCAGGAAACGCCTCCCAGGAACCCTAATATATTGGAGTAGATGTTGTGGCATTTGGCCCACAGCTTGATAGCTCTGAGAGTTAACCGGAAGTTGTCAATGTTCGGTACTAGATGTAAGATTTCATCGGTTACCCGGCAACCATTAAGGCTTCTTATGCATCTAATATCTAAATTTTTAAGCAGACTGTCATCTCTTAGATCCAAGTCTTCTGGAATAGTCTGCAGTGCTAATCTTGCAAACAAAATATCAATCTCTATCCCATCAAAACACAGTCGGATAACGGGGACAAACGCCTCCTCCACCGCCCTTAAGTCCTTGACTTCCTCGTGTAGTTTCAACTTGTCGTAGAAGGAAGTGAAGAAGTCGCTGCGGTCCACGTGCCTCGGCGCGACGCACAGCGCGTCGATGTCGGCGCCCTTGGTGTGCACCCCTAGCCGGTAGGAGCCGAACGTGAAGATTTTACCGCCGACGTTCTCAATCACAGCGGGTGGGAGACTTTTGCTTTCACTGATCTCTCGTATCCATTCCTTTACCAGATTATTTAATTTTTCCAAAATTAAAATTCTGCGCTGCAGTTCCTCTTCCTCTTCCAAAACCCCAAAGGGCTTCAGGGTTTCAATTAATTTCTGGGTCAGTACGCAGTCTGTCTCCTTGGGGGCGGCTAAGCTGATGGGGGAGGAGATGCCATAGAGCCTGGGTGGCGGCGGGGTCTGCTGTGATCCCGGGGTTGTCGCCGGAAACGGCATCCTCTCTAGCGCTGGCCCGGCCACGCCACGTTCCCCGCCACCGCGACCTCCGTGGCCGCTACCCGGGTCATGATCCGCTGAGG